CACACACACACACACACACACACACACACACACACCTCAAAGGACACACACACCTCAAAGGACACACACACACACACCTCAAAGGACACATACACACACACACACCACGCACTCCAACACACACACACACGCACACACTTTCTTAATATTTTCTGACTTGCACTTTTCGGGGGGAGGGTACCTGTATTCTGATACTACGACTGTGTCGTGGTGTGTGTACAGATATTCTCCAGTTGTACACAGTGGGATAGAGCGCTATACTCTATGGATGCAATCTTTTATGACTTTTTGTAGCACTGCTGTAGCCGTTGATCTCTACAGTTGTCCGAGGAGAGAGAAGTCTTGTTGTGCTACTACCTTGTTTGAGATACAGTCAGTCCCCTCCTAGCGACGCCGTGCCTTATCTACAAGTTGGTTCCTGCTTTGGCTTTGTCCTATCACAAGTGTCTTTGATGATACAGCCATAAGCTGACAAAACGCCTTTTTTCTTTACAAAAAATAATAAAATAAAATTCAAAGCAGTTTCAAGGGGAAGGGGGAGGGGGGGTGGTTGGTTGTCAGCGTAACAATTGAATTGAAAAATAGAGTGCTTGAGAAATTTGAATTCTAATTTTTTGAAAAACTAGTCACAGTTTCGCAAGGATTTGTTCACATTAGTTGGGTATCAACTAATCTGGCTTTCCATTTAGCAAATAAAGATTTTTGCCCCTTAAATGAACAAAAGGTGTTTTGTCAGCTTACGGCAAAATAATCCCGTCAGTGTGTGTAATAAACTCGTCAGGCCCTCAGCTGATGCACTCAACGGGGAGGAATGTTGGATTAAGTATATTTCTATTGCTCAGTGGAAAGGCCGCGAGATACGTTGACATCCACCCCTTGGCACTCATATGACCTATGCAGTTGCGAGAGCCGTAAAACCTCTACTAAGTCTAAAACGATACTACCTTTTGTTTGTTTGTCTATAAAACCGTACATAGTTCTTGTCTACGCGTGCAAAGAGGATGAGTATTTTATGAACTTGTCTTGTTGAATACAGATTGGAGGGAGGGGG